CCTTGAGTCAGGGTCATTCATCATTCCATGAGTAAAAGAGTCAGTGAGAATAACTGGAGAGAACATCTTCTCTGTTTATTTCAAGATCCTATCCATGAAGTTTAAAAAGGGATACCTTTGACCTTCCTCTGTGGTCCGTGATATCTGATTTGTGGTATTGAAATACCTTAGTAGATTGTCATTAACTTTTACTGCAAAAAGTGCTCCTCATTTATGGTTTTAAAACTGGTCAGAGATGGTCCTTGTAGATTAAGAAGTTTTAAAATATTGACTTTAGTAATAGATCAATAAGATTATTTGATTAAATCTATTTATTTACATTTTTCCTACTTATTACCTACTTATTATTATTCCTCCAAAGCCTTCTGAACCAGCATTAAGAGAGAGAGACAGAGAGAGAGAGAGAGAGAGAGAGAGAGAGAGAGAGAGAGAGAGAGAGAGAGAAATGATGTAGACACCAGGAAGTGTTCAAGGCTATGAATTTCCTGATTTCAAAATCCCCCAAGGGCTCTCTAAGGGTTAGGTCCCCAAATGGACTGGATTCTGGTTATTTAAAGGACATACCGCATATTTTATGGAAGTTTGGCAGAATGTCCATCCTTTCTTGTGTCCCATTATTTTCTTTCTTTCCGTTCTGTTCTTCTTGTTCTTTGTACATCAGCTTGTGCTTCTCTAGATACTTACAGAAATGGTTTAGTTGCAAATTTTAGTTACAGTAAAGATTATTTTAGTCATTATTTTGCTAGTTTTTATTGTACATCATTTCCAAACTAATAGATTCATTATAAAGAGGTAAAATCCTTAATTATACACAAATTTTTATCCCTCCCTGAAAGCTATTTCTGTTTTAGAATATGTTGTAATTTGGGATTATATACACATTGGACAACTTAATGTTTTGAATTATCTCCTAAGTTGAATAAATGGACTCTTTGAATGGCCACTTGACACATACCTAGATATGTTTTCATGTACTTACAGAAAGCTCACCGAGAATAACAAAAGCAGGAATATTTATAATAGCTCCAAAGTGAAAGCATTGTTTGTGTCCATTCACCATTGCTAACTAAAGAAATTGTGGTATATTAGTCAAATGGAAAAATTTATAGTAATGAAAATTTCCAAGCTCTGGTGAGATCAAACACAATGGTTAAACAACACAATCATAATGTTGAGCAGACTAACTGGACACAGTAGTAAAGAGTCTGTGTGACCCTCACTCAAAATTTATTTACTCACACAAAATTTATGAACAGGCAAAGCTAATGTTTGTTATGAAGTCAGACTGGTGCCTGTCCTGTGTTTCTGTCATCTCTTGGTAATTACAGTTATTTTTTAATCATTCTGTAATTTTAAGCCCAAACCCCAACTAAGATTCTTTCACGGGCTGTCACTAAGAAGGTTTGCCAATTTGTTCTCGCTTTCTTTAACTTTTTTAGCGTATTTTCCTGTTTTTGTAAATGATAAACAGTAAAGTTATTCCCAGATTTTCCAAGAAATAATTTCTAGGGTCCATTTAAGACACAAATTGAAATTCTAACTTTTCCTTATACATGAGGTTGAGAGTGAAAGTTGGGCCAGGCTTCTTTGAAAAAGGAATAATACTAACAAATCAGCTGCATTTCTTTCAGACTAATAAAATTTATGTTTCTCTCAAGCAAACCAAAAATAGTTCCAGGGAACTTTGAAGTTTTTGTGACATTTATATGGGAATGAATTTTCCTCCTATCCATTAAAATTGTTTCTAGATATAGTAGATTTATTGTCTGAAGATCAATTTGTAAATATTGGTTAAGAACAACTTACTTTGAGGTCCACTTAGTATGCTTTCTTCCAGAAAAAATACTTACAAATCTATCATGATAAAACCTCAGAAGAATATATACACTGAATTTATAGAACTGTCAGCTAATTGAAGGGATCAGTGGCTATTATTATATTTGGCTGTTTTTTTTCTGTATTATGAATTCATTTTAAATGAAGTATTTTTTAATAATAGAAATATGGATAGAAGTGAAGAGTTTTCCATTTCAAAAAGAAAAGATTCATTTGAAGACACAATTTCTGGGTAATGTCTAAATCATTGGGAATGACTCCTCAACTGCTCACTACCTTGTTAGACCAGTTGTTATTTGATTAATATGAAATAACTATGTACAAGTCTGACATGTAAGGGTTCAATTGGGCACAGATCATTTATTTACATAACCATGTACATAATGGTGTTTAGACAGAAAGTTTGCTTGGAAAGAGGGATTGTACTGGGCCTCAGACTGGGAGAGAAACCTGGGTTATGGCAGCCACTGGAACTAGAAAAGGGGCTTTATCCTGCTCAAAAAGAGAGGGACAAAAGGTGATGACAATAGCAGGTTGAAACTTGTGTGGGATGTCATTTACTCATGCAATTTACTTCAGCTAATTACAATAAACAGCATGCTGTGTGTTTGGATGTTGATCCCAGTTTATGATTTAACTATGTACAAGACTGACATGTAAGGGTTCAATTGGGCAGAGATGGATGCCCATGGGTGACTAAAAACCATGTGAATTGCCCTAATCTGGAGGAATCACTTGGACAGGTGGTGATTTGGGAGGTTTGTCTGTGAATCAATAAAGAAGCATTTGTTAAGTAATACAAGGATTGTATACATGATAAAGTCTGTGGGGTCTAGAGTGTGAGATAGGCCAGAGAAGAAACAGGACCTGATACCCTTCTATGAAGAAGGCATGAGGAATGGCAGGCCTGGAAGCTCAGGCCAGCTGTGCCCTGCTCAGGGTGAGAACCTGCTGTGTTTCTCCCTACTCTGGAGAGGATTCTGCCCCATCTCATTTCAAGGCCAGAGTCTACTGTACAACTTAGCCATTGCTGTCCCCAGTGTTTCACAGGGCAGGACCTCCCAAAGCTGCAGATTGATTCTTCAAAAGATCTTTTTGGAAAGTTTTTATCATTGTAATGTTGTTACATTAATAGATAAAGGGAATGTTCTAGGACTGTTTTTTGTTGGGGTAGCCATGAAGTTAGTGACTGCATATGCTACACTCAGAAATGGCTTCAGGAGCCTATATGATTTTTACTTAGTTTAATGGTAACAGTTTTACCCAGCCAAATATTTAGACTTTAAAGAGATTTTGTGATATGTAGTCTCTTGGCCACACTCACCTTTGATCTCCTTTTCCTTTTCTGTGAGAGTCTTATCTGTCTGTGAAGTTGCATCAGTCACAGACTCCTAGGACTGCAGATATGTGTGCAGAATCTCTTCAGCTGAAAGAGTTCAGAGAACAGTGGAAGTGCTGAGTTTGTTCTTGTCCTTTTTCCCATGGCCTTTACCACCAGGTACTGTTCCACTCAGATGAAGTAGGGCTGGTGGTTAGGAATCCCTGTCTCAGAGGCAGGCACATGCATCAGGATAGGCAGTCATGAGATCTTCTAGCAAGAGAGCTTTTAGGAGGTATGTAGAGATCCTGGGAAAGAGAGAATCTCTGAAATTATAGATAGAAGGTTCTAATTTGTAGCTGTTGGTGCTGTGGTTCCAGAGGGGAGGAGTGGTTTGAAGACTGAAGCCATCATGGAGAAAGCAATCCACAGGAAAAGGGTGGAGTAAGGATGGAAGGGGATCAGGGTCAGGGTAACACTAGACAGAAGGATTCAATGGTTGCAACTCATGGATCCAGTTCTCTTTAAACATAATTTGAAGTTTCAGGGTTACAAAGCATATTGTGGGGAATAGATGTTTAAAACTTATTGAAAGGTCATAATGAAAAACAAAAAATCAGGATGTGTTGTGCTCTCTAGTTCCTTGGTCTTAGGAGAAGGCTTTTCTAGTTGAGCTGACTTTTGCTATTTCTAAGTGGTATTAAACATACCTTCATCCTCCTCTGGGAATTTCCCAGACACATATTATTTCATTTTTAATTTTGCTAATTGTATTCATGTTTGAATGTATAAAATCTATGCAAATGTTCAAGGCATGGAAGAATATATAGTGTAAATTTAGACATGCTCTCCTCTTTCACCTCAACTAAACAGGTACCTTCCTGTTGTGACACAAATACTAGATTATTTTATATTTTCCACAGGTAGGTTATAACATGTATATATATTCATTATTCTATAAGTTAAATTGTAGTAAGCATTTACATTTCCTACATTTTTCTTTCATCCATGATACGCTTTGAAGATGTTCCCCTGCATATATAACTCCCCCATTTTTTAAATAATTATAGGGTATTGTTCTGAAAATATGTTCTATGATTTACCTTATGAGTACCTCACAGAGAGACTTGATGTTTCCAGTCTTTTATATTTATCAGGACCTTAAAGTGAGTAAACCACTACAATTATCAATTTCAGTTGGGAGAAGATGCTACAGGGTAGGCAAAAGCAAATTTCCTATATGTGGAATTGCTACATGAGAGGTCTGTGCATTTTAATTTTTGATATATATCATTAAAACTGTTCTTCACTACCCATTAAGAAGGCAAAACTATGTACTTCACCATTTATTTTACATATCAGTTTTAATAGTAAATTTTTCTCATGTTTCTTTATATGTAAACAAAGAGTTTGTTGGTCACTTCCATAAATGCTCATCATGACTTAAATAATCTCCATGACTCAAATATGAATTGCAAATATTTTCTTCACATTGTCTTTAGCTTTTTGCTTTACCTGAGCCTTTTCTAGAAATAATTTCATATTGTCTTTGTTGTTTCTCATTTTGATAATTCAATAAAATTGTTTCTCTTAGAGATAGACTCTTGTTCTTTGATAACTATTTTTTTTGTTTTTAAATTTTTCTTGAATGAAGCCAATATGACACAAACTTCTTTAAAAGGAGCCATAGTAAAATGTTATTAAACTACAATATGCCTCATTTTATAATTTCCTATCAGGAATCCTCAAGCTACTTTTAATATCCCTGATTATTTTCATCCCTACATGGACTTGTTTTACCAGCCCCAGGGAGTATTGCAAGAAAAAGAGTGCCAGCTGTATAGGATGTGTGAAAACATTGATTTTTACTTTTTACATGTTTCAATATCTTCTCTTAGTCAATTTATCTCTGTATTTCTTCCCTCCAATTTCTCTCTAAATTCCTTGTAAGCAGTTCTTCTTGGACCTATAAAAGAGGAAGAGTACATTTTCGAGAATTCCTGGTTATTAACTGTCAGAGTTCTGGATTTAACAAGTTCAGCAGTTAAGCACGTGTATCTATCTCTCTACCACCTTACAATATTATTTGATATTTCCAGACCTTTGACCTGAAGAGGGGGAGTATCCAGGGTTTACACACTTGTGAGATTTCCTCACACTCACTGGAGGTGGAGAGGGAATTTTATTCCAGCACAAAGGATGCTGTGTCAGGGAGAATGAGGTTGAATTCTAATTGATTCTCACATCCACCAAGGTGGCATGACTGTGATCCTCTAACAAGTCATGGGAAATGCTGACCTTGTACAGAACACTGGTCATCAAGCTCCTGGTTGTGACAGAGGTTTGTTTTACTCTACTTGTATAGATTTACTAGGAAGACACGGAAGCAAGTGCAACAATTTCTGATCTTTCACTGACCTTATCTTATATGAGGCCAAATCTGATGCATGCAGACCAGAAGGATCTGTTTCAGGTCTCTTGGATGGTTGTGCTAGAATCCCCCTCAACTGGGACACATAATCTCAACAAAGAGTAATCCACCACCAGGGGGTTATTATTTGTACCCTCCAAAGTCTATTAATACACAAAGTGCTGGAGTCTCCTAGATTTATAGGCTTCATTAGGATCCAGGTGCACTTGAGGTGTTTGTGTCAGTGAAACATTTACCTTCTGAGTGTCCCTTTGGAATGATGTCTGTATCTAACATTTTGTCCCATCCCATCCTGAGGAATCAGGCAGTGTCTGTCACATCCTGCCAGGTCCTGTAGAGACTCACCTTCAGCTTGTGCTCCAGCATCCATTCTTGCTTCTCAGAATGTTCTCCCTTTCTCTATGATCTCTTTAAGCTGTTCCATATTTCCCGGAAGCTTCTCTCTTGGGCCTTCATGTTTCCTGCTGCTCCTTCTGCTGCTGTCTTAGCAGCTCCTGTTCCTTTTCATCTGCCTCCTTCTTGGCCTGCTCATCTGCTCCACAAAGATTTTAGAAGAGAGAAGAAACAACAGGCTTGCATTCTAGCCTCCTAGGTTAGCACACCAAGGTTATTTCAGAAAAAGCAAGAGGGGAATCTCTCAATTTGCCCAATAGCCATGATGCAAGAGTATTTATTTGCAAAGTTGATGGAAAACTCATTTGCTGGACTCCCCTCTTCCTCTCAGATTTAGCAGAGCCTGTGCTCAATAGCAGGAAGAAGTTTCTGGTTTCAGGAAGATTTTCCTGTCCAATCAGTCAAGGTCTGTGCAGGAACCTTCCCATCCTCTGAAAGCTATGATCTCCCCTGTACCTGCTATGGCCTTCTTCCCATCAGTGAGGGCTTTATCTGACTGCAGGATGGATTTTTCTATGGCAGACAGTGGATGTAGGAAGCTCTGGAGGACCTCCTTTGCCTGGGCAACCCAAAAGGAACAAAAACATCTGAGGGATGAATGATCTGGTCTTCAGATGAGGATGGCATTATTCAATAAAACCATAAAATGGACTCTAAATATTGCATCCTTCTTACTTAGGATCCCATAGCTATTTCTTTCCTTATGTAGAACAATGGAATTTCATGCTCTTTGCTGAGACATGAAAACCTTGTATAGCAGCATGCTTCTTAGCCTCTCAGCCTCTTCTCTCATGAATGCTCCCCATCTGCCACCCCAGGTTGCAGCCCTGGTCAGATGAAGGAGCAGGTCTACAAATATATATCCCGTCCTTTGTTTGTGGTATGTGCACAACCTTTTTCTGGATCTCTTTTAGGGTTTCTTAACTAGGATCACATCTACAGTTTCCTTGACTGGTGTGTCCCAACCTATACCACGAAACTTTTCTAGGCTGCCTTCTGAGTTTCTTTTCATCTTTGTTGAGATTAACAAATAAAAATTGTATACATTGAAGGTGTACAATATGATGTTTGATATATGTCTGCATTGATATATGGTTCCTACAATCAAGCCAATTTTCATATTGATTACATCACAGTTACATTTTCTATATTCATGAGAATGACAAGGTCTACTCTCTTAGTAACATTCAGGTACACAACTGATTATTTTGTCTACAGTCACATTTGTACATCAGGTGGGCAGGATTTTCTTGTCTATAGCTGAAAGTAATAGTGCCATTAAATGTGAACTATACATCATGTGTCTTCTGTGTCTGCTCATTTCCTTTAGTGCAATGTTCTTAGGTTAATCCATGTTGTCATCATTGGCAGGAATTTTCTTTTTAATAACTAAATAATGTTCTATTGCATAAATGACATATATAGTTTATTGCTTAGTAATCACAACTGCATGGTAGTAGCATAAAAACCAACACAAAGTCCGGTAGAACAGAATAAAGTGGTGGGAAAGAATGAAATTGGACCCTGTCTTATACCTTATATGAAAATAAACGAATGAATTAATATGATTTAAACATAAGACCTAAAATTGCAAATCTCCTGCAAGAAAATGTAGGGGAAACATCCTCTGACATTTGCCTTCTCAATGATTTCATGATTTAAAACAAAAGGCATAGGCAACAAAAGCAAAAAATAAATAGATGAGACTGTTTATATTAAAGAAATCTAAAGTTTATTTTAAAGAAACTATCAACAAAATGAAAAATACAATGTATGAAATGGAAGAAAATATTTATAAACTATTCATATGATATGGGGTTAATTCCAAAGTATTTTAGAAACTCCTACGTCACAACAGTTTGTTTTTTAAAAAAAGTACATGACCAGATTAAGAAGTGGGGAAAGGACTTGAATAGATATTTTTCAAAAGAAGAAATTCAAATGTCAAATAGATAATTGTCAAAGCACCCATTATCAGTAATATCAGGGAAACACAAACTAAAACCACAATGTGATCACAGCACACCTGTGAGGATGCCTATTATTAATAAGCCAAAGGAAAACAGATGTTGCTGAGGATGTGGAGAAAAGGGAACCTTGTAGAACAGCTGGGAGAATGTGAAGTGGTGCAGCCATCATGGAAAACAGCTGAAGGATTCCAAAACAGGAAAAAAAATCTGAGTTTCTAAAGGCTGCCCTATCAGCTCTGTCACTGGCTGGCTGTGTGATCTTCAGCCACTTATTAAATCCTCATGCACTACATTTCTTTACTGCATAGGAAGAAAGTAGCACCTAGTTTCCGTGATTCTTTGAATTAAATTGGTAATGCAAGAAAATGACCTGAAACTGTGCCTGGTGTAGGAAGTGAATGTTCAGTGTCTGTTAACAACTGTTGTTCATCATCCTCATTGTTATCATCTATCAGCACACACCCAGGTACCATTAATAAATAGTATTAATACACCATTCCTATTGAATATTATTTTACTCATTTGAAGTATGACACATTTTATGAGAACAAAGTTATTCCCTTCCTATTGTATCTTCTTACTTGGCCTAAAAAACTACCATTTTCGGTAAATAAAAGAAATGGTTGGTTTCACCTGAATTCCTGGTTCTAAATCCCCTCTGGGAAGAACTAGTTTCAGTTTATTGAAGGGATCTACCTGGTAGAGAATATAAAATGATTTAAATGTCAACATAGTGTCATTCTCTGCCTTTGTTTCACAAATGGTGCTGTGAGCTTGGAGTTTTTGAAGGAACAACACAGACCCTGTGACCACACTCTGTTGGTTGTCCCTCCCCAATTCACTTGTTCCTTACTTTTTCTCCTTTCCTGGGCACTAGCTTGTAGCACTGTCCCACTCCCTTCTTTGCTCCTGAGTAGAAACTGTGGCCTGTGGGAACAGAGAATGCTCCTCTTAAAATGCTTTGCATCAGGGCCTCTGGCAGCTGCTGAAGCTGAGCCTGGCAGTATTTAACTGATGCCTCTTAATTCTGCAGCAAGAGAGCTTCCTTCTTTATCCCTGTAGTGTCCTGGAACAGATATGTAGGGAAGTAAAATACAAAGAAGCTGTTAGAAAGAAGGTCCCACTGAGATCCTCTTGGAATAAGTAATCTGACAGCCTCAGAATGGTCTGGGACATGGAAAATAGCTAGGAGACGTGCCTCAGTCCCTGGTCTGCTCAATTTTCTGTGCAACTGAAAATTACCGTACCTCGCTTGGGGTCATCTCCAACCTCTGTAACATGATGGAGTTGGAAAACAGAAATTTGATGGTATATTCAGCTTCATATTAATGGGGACCCAAACACTAAAGTAACTATTAAAAAGCTAAATTTTTACTAGAAGTAAATTTGTCAGGGAATATGGATTGCTGTGGTTGAAATTATATACATGGCAAATAATTCCCCGAGAAATGAGTTGAGTGTATTCTGAACAGAATTTTGAACCCTTCATAAATTCTTTCAGTGAGGGTTTGAATGTGTGAGGATAGAGGGATAGGTTTTTTGACTGTTTGTCAATCATCATCACCATTAGCAAGGGTGTCAATTACAGTCTCAAATAAAAGGTATATTGAGCACTCAAAGTCACGGCTTGGTTGATCCCACTTCTTTTTTTTTAATATTTATTTTTTAGGTGTAGATGAACACAACACAATGCCTTTATTTTTATGTTGTGCTGAGAATCGAACCCACGACTCGCCCATGCAAGGGGAGTGATCTACTACTGAGCCACAATCCCAGCCCTGATCCCACTTCTTTATTGAACCTCCCCACACCAAGACTACCCTTGGATACCTGAAATCAGCTTCAAGGCATTCTCCAGCTACTCATCTTATGTGATGGTAGAACTTCAGCTTTATTCAAATTCAGTTCCATTGTGAATTCTGGAACAGTCCAAATGAAGTCTGGAAAGAAACTTACAAATGCAGAGGAGTCCTCTACTTCATCCAGCGTTCAGTTAGATATTGCCCTGATTAGTTGTATTAGTTCAGTGACATAGCTGAGATCTTAGCTAAGGAATGAGTAGCACCACAATTTCCAGATCTCACTTAGCAACAAGTTTTGTAAACATTCCTTTTTTTTCCCCCCAGGATCTACTCTTACTCAACCAAGATAATCAAGTTATAAGAAAGAAGAAATAGTCTGAGTTGCTATTTTCTTAACCTCCCTAAATGAGACATGATTCTGTTATTTAAGTTAAAGTATGTGAGTGGGAAGAAGAAGCCAGGGGGTGGGAAACTCTGAATCAGATTTGAGAGGGAGATTTTAAAATCTATGTCTAGTGAAACTTTTTGTTTATTTGTTTGTTTGTAACAAGAGCAAGAAAAAAACACTATCTGAGTATAACTAATGAACTAGTGTTGGGAAAAATGATCTGATAATGTAAATTAGAGGGGTATTTTGAAAGAGAATAAAGTTGCTTTCTGTTTGCACAGAACAAGATATGAACTGATTAAATAGTAAGAAAAACAACTAATTTAGGAGCAAAATATCTAAATCTTAAATAGAAATCTATATACTAGATCATATACGTGGAATGGATGAACTTATTTTAAATAAAATTTCCCTTAATGGCTTTGTTAAGGATCAAAGACACACACTAGAACAGACACCCTGTTACTAATAGAAGAAAAAGTCACCCCAAATCTTCATCATGTTATCTTAGGACCTGACTTCCTTAACAATATTCCAAAAGAGTAAAAAGTAAAATCAAGAATCAATAAATGGGATGGATTCAAACTAAAAAGCTTCTTCTCAGCAAAGGAAACAATCAAAAACATGAAGAAAGAGCCTACAGAATGGGAGAAAATCATTACCACATGTACATCAGATACAGCACTAATTTCCAGGATATATGAAAAACTAAAGAAACAATACATGTACACACACACACATACACAAATAAAATAAAATAAAAAATAAAAAAACAAAAAAAACAAATAACCCAATCACTAGATGGGCTAAGGAACTAAACAGACCCTCACAGAAGAAGAAATACAATCAATACATATATGAAAATGTTCATCATCTCTAGCAAATAGACAAATTCAAATCAAAACTACTCTAATATTTCTATCTCACTCTAGTCAGAATGACAATAATCAAGAATACAAGCAATAAGAAGTATTGGTGAGGATGTGGGGGAAAAGGTACACTCATACTTTATTGGTGGGACTGAAAATTGGACCAACCACCCTGGAAAGCAGTATGAAGATTCCTCAGAAAACTTGGAATAGAACCACCATTTGATCAAGCTATCTCACTCCTCAGTTTATATCCAAAAGATTTAAAATCAGCATACTACAATGGTTCAGCCATGTCAATGTTTATAGCAGATCAATTCACAATATCTAAACTATGGAACCATCCTAGGTATCTTTTAATAAATGAATGGATCAAGAAAATGTGGTGTAAATTCACAATGGACTAGTACTCAACCTTAAAGAAGAATGAAATTATGGCATTTGCAGGTAAGTGAAAGGAGCTGGAGAATATCAGGCTAAGCAAAATAAGCCAATCCCTGAAAAACCGAAGGCTGAATGTTTTCTCTGATAAGAGGATGTTGATCCATAATAGGGGGAAGGATAGGGAAGAATGAAGAAACTTTCGATTGTGCAGAGGGGAGTTAGGGGAGGGGAGGGGATATGAGAATGGGAAAGATGGTGCTATTAGACAGATATAATTACTATATATACATGTAAGAATACAATGCTGGTGTGACTCTGCACCATGTACAGACAGAGCAAGGAGAAGTTGTGCTCCATTTGTGTATAATGTGTCAAAATGCATTCTGCTGTCAAGTAAACTAATTAAAACAGATTTTTAAAAGTTAAGAATAACCTAAAGATGTTAACAAAATGTATGACTTATGAAACAATGGAAAAATTAAAAAGAATATTGAACTATCAAGACAAAGATGAAAAAATCAAGAGGGTTGCATGTGAAGTATTGGAAAATAGGAAGGTGCCTAATATTTTTCCTACTGTAGGAAACATCGGATTTATCTTCAGAGATCTTTGTGGAGAAAGACCTGGTTGGCTTTAACATGGAAAAACACTTCCCACACTATGTGTGTGTGCTTCCCCACGTGGAAGACAGAGTAAACTGCCTTCCAGACTCTCCCTGTGAGAGGCATGTGATTGAGGTTCTGCCTTGCAAATATACTTTGGTGGGACTTATCTGGAGATATGAGCAACCCAAAGATGCAACTTTTCCTTGTGGGTAGTGTTTGCTTATTGCAAATGTGAGAAAGGGGAGGGAACTATCCAGTGAAAGTTGCCACTGGAGAGCTTCTGGCCTTTCATCTGGAGATCATCATGGTGGCAGGTCCTAGTGGCTGTAGTATCCTCTCTTGAGACACCTTCACTGTATGGTGGCACCATTCTTGATGGAACAGCTGGAGCGTCTGACTCTCTCATCCTGCTGGGATATCTGTGTGCCACCTACAGTTCTTAAAAATTAGTTTTTATATCAATTGCTAAGGAAATTGTTATTAGCCATTAAGGACTCTAAATAACACACATTCTAAAACTATTGTGGTGGTTTAATACATTTTAACAACAAATTAGTTTGATTTTACATTCTGTTATCGGCTCATAGCAAACATGTACCCAAGTGACTTCTAAGAATGATGTCATGGTAGGAAGACAGAGGGATAAAAGGGTTCAAAGTTCAGATCTTGTAAGATTATAGTGAAGATTCTCAAAAGGACAGAAAGGAATTTATTTTGTGTTTGAATCAAAGCTTCTTGTTTTGTGATTATAGAAGTCATTCTCTAAACTGTAGGAAAGAGAAAAGACTAAAAAATGGGGATTAGAAAACAGAGATGTAGGGCCTAGGAATGAGGCAGCAATTCCCCAAAGGACATAACTAAACGGAGAAGTGGAGCCTGCACTCAGACTTGCATTCCCAACAGGGGAATTTCCCCTGTCAGTATCCAGATGTCCCATCACTGACCAGCAGTCTATACCCAGCTGAGAACTGTACACTGTGTATGTCCTGGAGCCAAGCGAGGTGTCCAGGATCTCCCCTGTTAACAGACCCAAGACCACTTGGCAGGTGTGATGCTCCAATGTGCCCAATAGATTTATTCAATTTTGTCAGATTTTTCCCATATTGAAAACACTCCAATCCTGTCGTAGAACAAAAGTAAATATTGAAAAACAGCATGAGAATATCTAAGGATGGGATATGTGGGAGGAAAACAGTCTACCCTGAACAGAACTGCATGACATCTTCTCACCATTAAAAGCAACACAGTTATACAATTTAATCTCTCTCTAGAGTACCTACTCATGATTTTGATTATAAAATCACCTCAATTATTGGTATTATCAATAAGCATGATTTGAATTATTCTAGAAGAAAACATTGCTTTCATACTTTAACTTTAACTTTTGTGGTCCAACAGAAATGCATCTTGATGGCCAGTTTGAGTGGCAGCTGTTTCACATTCTGAAGTTCCATGCTTGATTTATTCCCTGGGAAAAGGGGGCTAGATAGAGATCTTTTCTTCCTTGAATCTTTAGAGTATGTTATACAACGTGTGTGGAAAACTGCTTGCCATCCTGATTTTATACATCTTTTTTTTATTGGTTGTTCAAAACTTTACAAAGCTCTTGACATATCATATTTCATACATTAGATTCAAGTGGGTTATGAACTCCCATTTTTACCCCAAATTCAGATTGCAGAATCACATCGGTTACACATCCACATTTTTACATAATGCCATATTAGTAACTGCTGTATTCTGCTACATCTTTTGCCAAAGTTTCCTGATCTCATTCTCCAATCCCTCTTTGAGAAGCCAATCCTGTTCCTAAAGGAAACTTGTACCGCTTACTGTGATTCCCATATTGCCTTATTGGTTTTCCTTTGGGTATTTCCATTAATCCCTCAAGAACTTTTGACACTTGTTCTTGAAATTCTTTCCTCCCTTAACTTGCATTCTCTATCTTCCCTGCCTCCTCTGTCTTCTTTACCCTGAGTTTCCTATGCCAGCTAATAGTTTCCCTGGCCTTTC